AACGGTAAGTTCATTTACAGTTGTTAACTACAGTAGTGCATGTGTAAATTAATGCACTCGGAAGCTACTAGTACATAAAAGTTTACTGAAGCGTTGCCCTGATGTAGTCATCGAAATCGTCTAGAAATTTAAGTATCGAAGTTATAGTAACCGATTTAAGTTAATGAGTATTGAGTGCATTTAAATCGGCGGGTGATGTGTGCATATAAATATTGCATTTCACGCAAGTATACATATATGTATATATGCATGTACACCTAATCGGATTATTAGGATCGTTCTTTCACCACTCAACTAAAGGGAGTTTAGGTAGTGCAATGATAAGAGCACATGGTAAACTTACAACACACATTACAACAAATGTAGGTACACAATTAATTCAACCGAAGTTATTACATACATATGTCTGTACATATGTGGGTATGTCTCTAAAATAAATAGGTAAATTTGGTTAGTTGCTGGGTTTTTCAGGTTGCTTGATTTTAAGTTGCTGGATTGCTGTGCTCCTTAGATAATAGGTTGTTGCAAGGAACTGCGCGAGCTGGTTTTCGAATGCACTGTTTGTGGCAGTTGGTAAAATATCGAAACGAACGGTACATAAGTAGAAATGAAACGAGTTGGTTAGTTCTTACAACGAACGGGTCGGAAGAACACAAAAATATTTTTTTAATATTATTTTATTGAAAAAATTTTATAGGAACACTTTGAACGCAACATTAAGAGTTCGAAAATCGTTTGTTTTAATGAGAAAAACTGTATAAATTTTATAAAAAATGTACAAAATGTATATTACAGAAAAAACACAGGAAACGGTAGAAAATTTTAACATATTCAAAAATTTCGTATTTATCGAAAAATGCGTAAGTATGTAGCTACATACATTGAGTGAAAAAATACTTTAATGATAGATTGACCTTGGGCCCTTAAAACATACATATATGTATATACACGTTCATACATATTAGGGTGGTCCTTAGAATATCGATATCATGGCGCATCCTTTTGTTTTGTTCTACGTAAAAATACAAAGACTTCCACGAAAAATTATAAATTAAAAATATTTAGGTGTCGAAAAATTCGATTCTTCCTAATCACAAAAAATTCGAAAAAAATTGTGACGTTTAACGGCTACCGAATTTATGAATTGCTACGAATAAGTTTCAATAATGTGGGAAACTTATCAGATTTCAAGTCAAAAGTTTGCCAATTTTTTTGCAATTAAAAAAATATTTCAAACCCTGATAGCGACCATGAAATTTTCGTGAATATCTTTATATTGCACGTATGTAGAACAAAATAAAGAGGTGCTTAGCACATGTTGATATTTTAAAGACCACCCTTATAAATACATATGTATGCATATTATTAAAGAAAATAAAACAAAATCAATTTCAAATCAAGTACTCACCTGTTGTTTTAAAAATACTTAAAATAACACTTGATTACAAATTTGAATTTTTTTCCGCACCGGATCACGATATACAATTTTTATGTAGAATTGTGGTTCGAACTTTGTATGCAAGAAAATGCGTGACGCCGCACAATGGGACTACAGCGGCCAAAAATAGTTAAAACGGAGTAAACGAAATATGATTTTTGAATATTTGCGGCAATTTTTGTTAGAGGTGGTGGACAATAGAATTTACCGATTTTGACGTTCTTTAAAATTTATGCTTTTCTGGTTAAAACCAATACATACTCTGAATTTCATCAAAATGTGATAATGTTTACCATTTCCGCCCACAAGAGCTGGGGCGTGGCAGTGCGTCGATTTTTACCATTTTCCACATTTCTTCATTCCTACGCGCAGAATAGAGTATATACGACATTTCAGCGCATACATATGTAGTACGGTTATCACCGGTATTTTGTATACTTCAAACCAGAAAATTGTTGTTGTGCAAGTTTTTTGAATTTTTGTAAAAAGCTAGAAATCTGGATTTACAAGGCTTTTGTTAGACATACATATCATCTTGTCACGGAGCGTACAACAGTTACCAGGAATTTCTTTATTTCATTAAAAAAAATTGTTTCAAAAAATACTGCGCTGTAAAAAATTATTATTTATTTAAATTATGAAGGTGCTACGAAACATTTTTTTTTCGCAGAAATATATATGTAGTTTTTCCGTTTATGGGGAGTTATTCCACCTTTCATGTGTAATATTTGGTGGGTCGTGTCCCCTATCGTTATCACTGAAGATAAGTAACCAATATTTTTCTGTCGACCTCGAATGAAAATTGGATTTTTGATGAAGTTTTTTATCCAAATCATACTCAGTTTACGACTAGCGAACTGTGCTATTGAAAAGTTGTTTACACGGTTCGACTCAAAACAAATACCTAGTGGCATTTCAAAAAGTTACACACCATGTTTACCGAAGACGATTTTTTTTTGTTGAAGACGATCGAGCTGAGCTTTTTTTCAATTTGTGGTATGCGTTTTGGTAGAGACTAAAGTTTTACGGTCCTACCGACCAGTAGATAGGTTTTTAGATGTGAGATTCGGAAGTTAGACACACAGCAAACATTTATTTTAAAAATCTGCTATAGAGTGGAAGTACGCAACTCCAGCCACTTGGCTATGGTGGCCAATTGATTTGTGAAAATTTTCGTGTTATTTATTATGAAAACAGTCTAAAGATCAACTTAATTCGGTATTTGGAGAATGGGCGCCAAACTTTGTCATTTTTGCTCATATAATAAATCGGCAAAGGTCATCCAAAAGTATATGAAATAGCTGGATAGGCGACAGATCATGGATCTATCCATATGGTTCGGAAATAAAGTTGACTGCATGCGTCTTCTAAAACGAGTCCAGTCCAACTGACAAAAAAAAAGTTTAGAAATATTTGATCAACACTCAATTTGGGGTTTTTATGCATTCCGACTGTTTATTGAATTCATTACTTATACTTACTTGATTTCATATACATATTTGAACATTTAAATTAATAATAAGCGAATCGTAAAAAGTGAACGTAAGTCTAAATTATATAAAACGAACAGCTGTTCCATTTTGCTAAAATTAAAAACTAGCTAAAAAGGATTTTGAACTTGCAGATAATATAGAGAATATATGCAGCATGCATGCATTTGTGCTTTTTAATGGGACAGTAGTCAACAAAAAAAAAAAAATAAGAAGAAAATGTTTCATCCAGCCAAAATTTACATGCAAAATATCAATGAAGATTTATTAAAAATATTTTGAAATACCTATAGGAAACATAAATATGTGTACTTAACATTCTTAAAATGAGCAGGCAAACTACGGCACCATTAATAAAAGTACGTGTGAGCGTGTAAATGTGTGCACACTTGTCAGTGATTATATTTAATATGCTGGAAAAAAATTAAGTAATCGGAGATTTATTCGGGTTTAGTCCAGATGAAGGCAGTGAAGTTTCCACTAATCATTGGTTAATTGTGTAAATTATTGGGCTTGTTTGTTGGTGTTGTTGCTTGATTATTTCGACAGGCAGAGACGATGCTTTATTTTAAAATGCGTCTCCGCCATTACTTATCTAATATATTTGTTTGTTATTCCTTGTTATTGATCGAATATCAATTTTTTAGATAGCTGGGTTATATGTATATTAGACTGCATCACCAAAAAAAAATGCGGTTTTTCCGCCGGGATTACAAAATCTATTATATTTTAAGACGTCCACCAAAATATTTCGGAAAAATATTAAGATTTAAGTGAGCTGGACCGTTTTAAAAATACCTCCGAAAATGGAGTTTTTTATGAATAAAAATAGTTTCATAAAGATTTTTTTTAAATTCCCTCAAATGACAAATGGTTTAAGTTTAAAAAATTTGCAGAAAAATATTTAAAAAAAATTTAAAGAAATTTAGAAATGGAACAATTATTACTGTTTTTCATTTGAATTCAGTATGAAAAAACCAATTTCTGCCTTTTATTTTTGCCATAAAACGTATTAAACTAAGGCATATTGTACAGGTAGTATCATGGGAGCAGCTAATTTGATTTTTTTGATTATGTGGTCTCCAAATTGTCTAAAATTTTATGTACATTAGAGTGCATCACACTCATACAAAAAAGGCGGTGCTGTTTTCCAATCACAGTTATAAAATCTATCATATTTTTAGACTTCCGCCAAAATTTACAGAAAAATATCAGGTTTTACGTGAAGTTGGACCAATTTGAAAATACCTCCAATATCGAGTTTTTATTAATAAGAATATTTTTATTTTTTTTTTTGCAAAAAATCACTTCAGACTATAGAACAGTTTAAGCTTAGAAGGTTTGCATGAAAATATAAATTTTTTTTTTCTTCGCTGCTTATATGTACATATATGCTTGGTGGATTTTATCAACGGCATCAAAATAATGAGATTTTTTTCTAGGTACATATTACCTTTGGCGCCATGCAATAAAGCCATAGGTTAATTGTGTAAAAGTTATAAGCAAAATATATTTTCGAAATATTGCTCTTTTTTATGAGAAATTGCACGCTCAAAAATGCACTAAATCACCAACATGTTTTGAAACACTAGTAAAATATTTGATTTAAAAAACTTTTTCAAAGGGTACATAAACTTTACGAAAAATATTTTTTTTATTTAGCCAACGCGTACCGCCACTAGACAACAGACAATAATTACTTTTTGTGATTTATTTTGGAACGAATTCCCGTCATTCTTTGTCCTTGTTTAGCGGATGTCTTAGAATAAAAAAAATAAGGATTTTTTTTTTGGTGAGACACCCTAATGTTCATATGTATGTACAGTGATTTTTCACAACAAATTCAATTTGTTAAAATGTACATATGTATTTTCATGCGAAATTGTTTTCGTAAAAAGAAGGGATTGAAAATCAGCTTTTGAGACGTTAGGCTAATTCAGGAGCACAATTGCCATTTATTGGGCCTTGAAAAGGATGGACCGTTGCTGCTGGAAGCAAGAAAATTTAAAAAGAATGAAAGTCGCAACTCGTTTTTTTCAATTAAAATTTTTAATTTATTTTTTTTTTTTTATTTCAAATGACCCACTATGACATTAAAAAAAGCAGAATATTTTTTAACTCTCTGGAGACCAGATGCAATAACAAAATACCTTAGTTCAAACTAAAAAAATTGAAAAGTTATTGCGATGTCGTCTCGAAGGTAATCGGAGTTTTGCTGGTAAGGATATTACCACCAAGAAGCTAAAATAATCGTAAAATCTATTCATAATAGAGCAAGAAATTCCTACGCTGATAATTTTGCCCCCCTCTCTCCCTACTGTGTCACACACGCGCTATTGGAGTCTCCTTCTTCCCCTTCTACTGACTTAGTTCGTTTCTTCTCATCTTCCTTCAATTTCTTTAACTTCAGCTTGTTATGCA